TAAAAACAGAAGTACCATATGATTCTGCTACCTAAATACTCCTGGGTATATACCCAAAGGAAATGAAGTCAGCATACAAAAAAGATACCTATATGCCTATGTCTATTGCAATACTATTCCCAAAAGCTATAATATGAAATCAACCTGTGTGCTCATCACAAATGAGTGAAAAAAGAAAACATGATACATGCACACAATGAAGTATTCAAACATAAAAAGGAATGACATCCTATCATTTGCAGATGGGACTGTAGAATCTCATATTAAGTAAAATAAGCCAGATAGACAGACAGGTAGCCCATGTTCCCTCTTATATGTAAAAATAAAAAGTCAACCAGAAAGTGAAAGAATTACAACTAGGGGCTCAGAAGGGTGCAAGAAGGCAGGAAAAAAGGAGAAAGGGTGGAAGGATGGATGGATGGATATGGTCAATGTATATTATATGCGTGAATGGAAATACCACAGCAAATCTCATGAACATACATACCCAATATATGTTAATTTTTAAAAAGAAAACAAGACATCAGCAATGCTCTGAACTAAAGTTTTTCACATAACTTTCTGCAGAGCAACTCTGTTAATGCAGATCAAGGCATTTTTGTTTTCTAAAACTAAAAAACAGTAAATTCCATAACTACTTAGTATAGTTTAGATGTCAAAAGGACTTCAAAAGGTCATATACTAAAATAAACTCTTTTTAAATTATTTCATTACAATTACAAAAAGCTATCATAATACTAAATGTCATTAAATGTGCTTTCAAATATTTCTTCGGCAGAACTAGTCCAGACAGGCCAGGACCAGTGGGCTTATTTCAAGTTTATCATCAGTTCCACTATTTGCACTTAAAAACTGAACACTGAGGAATTTGGGGATACCCAATATGAAATCGACAGAAAAGAAGCAACATGGCTTTTAACTAGTCTCTAAGAACACTAAGAAAATAAGGAAGTTCAGGTTTATATCATCTAACATAGAGCAGTCACCAGTCTACTGGCCACCAGTCCCATCAGATCTTCAATACTCTGAAAGCAATGTTGTGATAAGGTAAACAGGAAAAATTTATTTCTGTAACCTAATTATTCAAGCCAGTAAGCATCTCAGGTTCACAAGTTTCCTTTTTTAAATGACAGCTTTACTAAGATATAATTCACACACCCTTAAGTGTACAATCAGTTGTATTAGTGTATTCAGAAAGCTGTGCTACCATCACTACCATCTAATTTTAGAACATATCTGTCATGCCCAAAAAGAAGCTCCACATCCATTATCAGGCACTTCTTAGTCCCCTCTGCCCCTGGCAACCCATAACTTATTTTCAGTATCCATGGACTGGTCTATTCTGGACATTTCATATAAATGGAATCATACAATACAACACATGATGTTTTGAGGCTTTCATGCAGCACAATGTTTCTGAGGTTCAACCCTGCTACAGCATGAATAAGTACTTCATTCCTTTTTTATGGCTGAATTTATAATCTATTTTTTGATATATCATACTTGTTATTCTATTTATCAGTTGATAGACTTTTGAGATGAAATTTGGGTACTGTAAAAACCTTAGTCATCTAACTCAGTTATTCATTTTATTAACAAAGAAACTAAGATCCAGTGAGAAAATTCTGGCCACTTCTGCCTAAAGTAGGAGTCTCACTCCACAGCTGAGATGCCTTTGTTTCTCCAAGCTCACCTCCTTCCTAGAAAAGGAGAAACTCCTTAATGGGTATGATCCAAGCAGTAAAATGCAAGATGGGCTGGGGTGGAAAGGAAAAGGAAGTAGATACAATTAGGTGTAATCTCAAAGCTAATAGAATATAAGGCCAGCAGTTTTAAATCTTCGAAAACATATTCAAAAAAGAGATGAACAAAAAGAAGAAATAAAAATTTAAAAAGGAAAATAAGAGAAGGCCAGAAACTGAAATGTTCTAAGTCCACTTGATGATCTATTCTCTGACCTAGAAGAAACATTATCTGATTTCATGATGCCACAAAGATAACACTAGAGTACAAGCAACAAATGACAAGAAATGAACACAGCAAATAAAGTCTATCAATCTGCTTTCTGCAGTAAGGGTCACTAGAAAATACCCTCTTGAGATCTGACCCTGATGACTTCAATCAGAGATAAAGTTTATCTAAAGAAAACTCTAGAGGCGCCAATCTCTATCTAGCTTGTCTATAACAATCTGGGAAATTCAGACTGAATGAATCCTAACCATGATCTCTAATTTATAACCCCTACTTTCTACTAACATTTATCAGCTGGAAAGCCTGTCTAAGCATCTGACCTGTTGCTTGAGTACCTGGTACAAAATTCTAAACCAATAAAAAAAATTCAAAGGTCAATTTCCAACCCCTGGCTATTCTAAGCATAGTTGTTAAAGCCCCTACCATGTAGAATTACCTTTAATACTCAAAGCAGAAAAAAAAAATTTTAATTACCTTCTATCAACTCCACCATAGTTCTTTCCACATCCTTTTTTTAAAAATAAGTTTATTAGTACATGTTTGCAGTTCATGCAGTTTACAGTGATCTTGGGGAGTGGCTACATGTACATATCATAGCTTTTTTTTTTTTATTGACCTTCCCCTTCTCTCACCCTCTTTCTCCAATTCCCCCATCCCATTTTTCATTCTCAATGATATTATTACTCTTAGTTCATGTTATACTCGGTTCCCTCAACAAATGGGCATGGTAGCTCATGCCTATAATCCCAGCACTCTGAGAGGCAAGGCAGGAGGATCACAAATTCAAGCCCAACCTGGGCACCTCATGACTTAGTAGAGACCCTCCTCAAAATCAAAAAACTAAAAAGAACTGGGAATATAGCCCAGTGTGGCTCCCCAGTACCATAAAAAAATCCCACTACCATAAAAAATAAACAGGGTCAGTGTATGCCTGCCAGTAGCAAGTGGATATATACTTATTTACTTATAGCCATTTACAAAAAGCAAATGGATATAAATATTTTGATTAATGAAATTGAAAACAATGCCAGATCTTTAAAAAAAAAAAAACCTACTATTCCAAATAAGTGTCTTAGTCTTATTTTTTTTTCTACTGAAGAACATAAATCTATATCTTTACATCCAAATATTCATCCCGCTTAGACAAAAGATAGGAAGATTCTTAGAAAGGAAAAAAGTCCAACAAGGAAAACTAAAAAGAAGATCAAGAATGCAACACTTCTAGTAAGAAAAAGTGATGGGGATATGTCTAAAAGTCACCAAAGCCACTTGACAGAGCTCCAGCAGCAAAGCTAGAACAATTAAGCAAAAACAACAAAAATGAAGAGGGTATAGCTGCTCCTTTTTAAATGGGGTTATAGCTGCATGAACCCCCTCAGAAACTAAAAATATCAGATTGAAAATGCCCTGAATACACCAGAACTTAACAACACAGTACAATGACTGTAGTGTGTCAGTGATTTTCCCTTGTGAATGGCCACTGCCAACATCAAAAGAAATGAACCACATGTCACTGGCCTGAGAAAAAGTCAAAGTCCAAAATTTAAGTACAAGTTCCACTGACCATACATGACTTTCACACCATCATGAAGTCAAAAACTCACAAGTTGAACTGTCTATTCTTGAATTACAATCCATAGAATAAAATGAATACCTAAAACTTCATACTGATGTAAATAAATATTTATTTACTAAGTAAATAATTGAGAAAAAAAGACAGTGCTTTCTTATAATAGGATTCACATTAATAAATGTGTAAGAATGAAAGTACTAGATAATCACTCTTAGACAAGCCCTAGAGTAGTAACAAGTGCAGTCATGAACTCTCAGTGAATGTTAAAATTAATGGAATAAAATATGTTGAGAAAATGGACAAAAGCATAGTCCTCAGGCACTGTTTCACAAGGCACTAATTACAAAGGACAAATGAGATAACTTTACTACATAAAAACACCTGGCTGAAAAAATCTTAACCAAGTGATCAAAGTTAACACATAGTAGTAAAAAGGCATAGAAACATCATGTATTCCCTCATCTGATGCACTGGGATCCAAAGTATGCATGGAAGGAAAATTCATTTCTCATCATAAGGAAAGAAAAATATCAGAGAAACTCATATAGGGTTAACATTTTACTTCTTTTACAGTGTCAAAGTCACTAAGGCCAAAGAAAGAGAAAGTAACTGTCAGAGATTAGGCAGACTAAGGAGACTTGACAATTAAAAGTAATTCATATTCTGAACTGAATCCTTGACCCAAAAGAAAGACATGAAAGGAAAAACTAGCAATAGTCAAATAGGACCTGTAGAATAATTAATAATATTGAAAGAATGTTCATTTATAGCTGTACTTTTTTGTAAATCTAATTTTATTTCAAAATAAGATGTGTTTTTTAATGCAACATTTCTAGGTATGAGATCTTGGTGTTTCAATCTCATGGTGGAGAATGATTCATTTTGGCTATTATAATTTTCATAGTAAGAGAGATTATAAGTGATGTCAGATATAGAATCTCAACCTCAATTCTTCATCATGTATTCTAGATTGCAGTAAGCAAAAAAGCAAGCCAATAAATGAAAAACACTCTTGTTAAAACCCACATGGCACAAAGAGATAAGCCAGAAACAGAATGAATATTCCGGCCATAAATTAATGGCCTGAAACACAAAATAACATGAAATATAAAATATCAAGAAGTAGGGGCGGGGGATGTAGCTCAGTGACATAACCACCTGCCTGGCAAGTGCAAGGTCCTGAGTTTGATCCCCAGTACCGCCAAAAAAAAAAAAAACTAAACTAAACAAACCAAATGGAATCAGGTTGGAGATGTAGCTTAGTGGTAGGCCACTTACCTAACTATGTATTAAATAGAAATAAATTTTTAAACCAATTGAACATCATGTGAGAAGGTCATGACTTAGAACAATATCTGTGGGATATAATTTTTATAAGTCTGGCATGAGAGATGTATTATTAGATAAAGGCTGAATTGGTTCTGGCCCATGCACTGCATCAGTTCTTTATACATACCCAGATTTCAAGTCCGTTATCCTCAAACAATTTGTAGCATCCAGTCCCACTTTCCCATTCCGGACCACACTAGATATGAATGGGGACAGTATAGGAGAAATTCGGTTCAAGGCCACTTCTGGGGACATTTCAACTTGACTTGTATGTCACCACTAAAAGCAAAAGGAAAGAATGGTGATAACAATTTACAAAAGCCAGCCTGGAAACTTAGGAAGTCTCTGTCTTAAAAAGAAATAATAAAATAGTAATAGAAAATAAAGCAATTAAGTAAATAAAGCTGTTTATCCTACAACTGGCCCTTCTACTTTGGTTGAAATCAAAAGGCCTTCACTAATGCACTGCCCCTAACATACAAAACACACCACTGGGTTAGGAATCCCTCACATGTCCCACAAGAACTAAGCACTTCATGATAATAATATATGAAAGTCTAGAACAAGCAAAGCCTGCTTGTAATTGTTACTAAAGATTTATGGCTGGTATACCTCGCTCAACAGGCGTCTCTCCAGAATAGCATAACTATCTACTTATATGAGCTCTCACCTGCAGGGAATATATCTTGAATCTCTCTCATGTTTAACAAAAGTACCTGACATACAATAAGCATTCAATAACATTTATTTAATACATAAATGCACAAGGTCACAAAGGCTAGAGAAACATTTATGGCCTGAGAAAATATGTCCTCAAAAAACCTGATAGAGGAATAAATGTAGCAAAAACTGAGAAATAAATGTGGCAAAAGCTATATAACTTTAAAATATAGATCTATCCAAATATTAAACAACAGAATAACATCGATCATTTGGTCTCTGAGTTTAAGACACTAAGAAATCTTTATACTTGAAAATATAAAGCAAAACCAGTAAGTCATATCTAAATTACTTGAAAACTTATGAGGCTGAAGGAAGTATATGAATTCTTCTTAATAGATTTCTAAATGAAAGCCTCTACTTTCAGAAGTGAATAAGTCAATTCAAATTACTATTTTCTTCCTTAATCTGAAAGGGCAATCCCACATCAAAAACAAACTGATTTTCAGGCATTAACAATTACAAATAACTAATGCTTTAGTTCTAGTTTTTAGATGTTATAGTACGTGACAACTTATAAGTCCCTGCTAAAACAAATGTGGCAAACTAGTACTTATTTTACTTAATCATTTCTGATAGTAATAAAGGAAAAGACTGCAATGATCATTCAAGAAATATTAACATTCAGACGTGGTGGTGCAGCCTGTAATCCCAGCACTTGGAGGGCTGAAAACAGGAGGATCACTACGAGTCTAATCTACATAATGAGACGCTGTAGACCCTGTCCTAAACACAGAAAAAATAAATACTAACATTTGACAGTATATAGTCTTGACACCCACGAGTATCTCTGCAGTGTTAATGCTTTATACATTAGCTCCCAAATCATCTGCAAATACAAAACAAGCTCCTCTTCTGGGGCTTCAGCAGATGACTTCCCTGCCACTCTAATATGTCATCAGAAGATAAGAATAAACATCTCACACACTATTGGCACATGCCTGTAATCCCAGCACCCTGGGAGACTGAGGCAGGAGGATCTTAAATTCAAGCCCGGCCTGGGGGAACTGGCTGACTCAGCAAAACCTTGTCTCAAAATAAAAATAAAAATAAAAAGGACTGGGAATTATGGCTTCCATTGAAGTTGCTCTTCACAACTTGGGTAATGGGCCAGGTAATGTCTTTCCCATTCTGCAAATGATATAGATAACTGTCAGTTTCTTTCTGAGTGATATACTAAATCATTTTATTGTTTTAAAGATGTCTTTTTTCCTTTTATTCCTATCCATTGCTGTCATAGTTCCTGAAGGGATACTTATCTGGATCATATGAAAACACTAATTAATACTCATTACAGAAAAAAGTAAAAGGACAGCACATTATGAAATTATGTTTCTCCTCCCAGTAACTACTATTTTTTTTTCTTCTCAGTTCTAAAAAAAAAGGAAAGAGGGCCAACACATTCTCAGTATCTACTATCAGCTCCATATTACTCACCCTCTCTATAACGTCACTTTCAACAACTCTATTCCTTGGTGAATTTTGTTCTTCCTCTCAAGTAAACATTAAAGAGGAAAGCATCAAGGTGATTTTTTAACATACACCATGCAAAATGTTAAAACAGACTCATGATTTTAAACGAATGACTGCTTTACACCTAGAAATAAACTAGACTACCGCTGACCTACTGCTGAAACTGCCCTGAATGATTCACAAACTGCCCCAGAAGACAAACCACACTAATGATGACAACAACCTATTTGAATTCAGCAATCGTCATGATTCTGTAATAACACTGGAGAATGAACTTTTATCTTTATTTTCAGAACAGCCATAATACTATCTTTTGACAGTGCACGATCTCATCCAGCATTAAAATGTTTCAACCATAAGAGATGTGACTTTTCTAACCAAATGGGGAAAATATTGTATACTGACTCCAAAATCAGATTCCTAAACAGCCAAAGATGATGATCCTTTGGTGCAGTGAATAGGGTTGGGGATGAAAAGGGCATCCAGTAAAAACTTTTAGACGTGGCAATTTTATAATAGATTCTTGATAGGCAGAAATTCTGTGTGGCTAGCCTGTTTTGAATGCCATTTCTGTGTAATTTGTATTTCCTAATTTCTGACGTAGTTAAGTCAGAAGGAAAATGCAAAAATGCAATTTTTACAAAGGCCTGCTGCCCAAAAAATAAGGTCAAATAAGGTCCTTCCGTGGCTGCCTAGGCAAAACAAAGACGTCTGAAGCACTGTCCAGGCTCTTGCAATTAGGCTACGATGACAAACACGGAAACGTGTGCCCAGTTGACGTCACGGAACGGAAAGGGGTGGCCTCCTGCTGCGTCACGTCAACGTCATACGGCGCACGAGGGAAGTTACACAGGGGACGTAATTTCTCCAAGGGGCAACAAGGAAAAGCAAATCGGTTCAGACCCAAAGAGTAATCACCCCTGCCCCGGGGAACATCTGACAGAAGACACGTTCCGTTCTTCTAAATTGTATGATTCTCTTATCACACAGAAAAGAAAAATTAAGCCTGTGGGCTTAATCAGGGACCACAGGGTGAGCTAGATGTGGAAAAAGAAGTCTCTAACCTTGGGCGCCGGTTCTTGAGGGGACTAGCGTGATGAGGGTGAGCAGGGTCTTTGAAATGGGGGCCTTCTCTAGAAAAAGAGGACGCGAACCCACTGGCCATTTTAAACCATGATTCTCTGAGCCACCTGTGCGATTCGGTATCCAACCTCCCCGCACCAGCCCCAGTCCAGGTACCTGGAACTTAGTCCGATCGGTAACCGGCGATTACGTGGGGTACAGGTTACCCGAGCGCGCCCCCGACCAACACACCGCGACCCGAGCGCGCACCGCGGGCCCGATGCGTGCGCGCTCTCGGGACGCCCTGTCCCGCCCCTCCGGGAGCCGTATGGCGTGCGCGCCCTCGCGCTGCCTCTGGCCCGCCGCTTCGAAAGGCGTCCCGGCGGTGCCTGAAAGTTCCCGCCCGGCGCTTTCCTCGCAGGGGCAGAGGAGCGACGACTCTCGCAATACCGGCAGGGCTGTGCCGCTTAAGGCCTTGAAGGGAGGCAATTTTTGGAAGAACCCGGGAAGTTGGTGGACGAGATTATTTCGGGCATTTGGGTGGGCGGCCTTCGTAAAGCGTGTGAAAGCCCCGTGTCGTCAGGGAGGGTAGGAGCAGCGTCTCTGGGCAGTGGGTCGGGCAAAGGGCAAAGGGCAAAGGGCAAAGGTCAGCGTCCAGATTCGTTGGAGTCACTGTTTAGCAATGGCTGCGTCTGGGGAACCCGGAAAGCAGTGTCAAGAGGAGGCGGCGGCGGTGGTAGTGGTGGGCTCCTGCATGACAGACCTCGTCAGGTTAGTCGGGGGCCAGTAGGCAAGATCCGATGCTCGCAGGCGGGGACAGTGCCTGGGTGCAGCGACTTTGGGACCGACTGTAGCTGTGGGTATCCGCTGCAGGTGTCTCCAGCCTGCATCCCCCCTCTTACATGACAGAAGCAAAATTTGAATTTGTAAATTGCAAGTGAGTGGACCTACAGTAAAGGGAAGGTTTTAACGACCTTGTGCCTATTCCTCCAGGACTAGTCAGTTGACTGTGCGTCATTTGCCTACGCAAACAGTTATTGTGAGGACTGTTTTCTCAACCATAACACTGCAAATTGGGCATTGTTCGTCTAAACTGGTTGTATAAAATAGCACACCCACTAGTACAATATTTACACCCATTAAAAGAAGGGGACCAAATAACCATAGAAAATATACTGTATGGGAATAGTTGAGTTAGGACAGTGAGATTTAAAGGAGAGAGAGCCTTGTGATTTGTCTTTTTTATGGAAATGGCTTTCTGAACATAAAAACAAGTTCATTGTAAAACAAATCTTAGACTTTCAAAAATAATTCTACTGTTCAGATTCTTTCATTTTAAAGTACTAGTGAACAGCTTTGGAGGTGTAATGCTATTTTACATTTTTTTTTTTTTTTTTTTAAAGTTTAGGTATACAGGACCAGCCAGATAGCTCATTGGATTAAAGCACCTGCTTAGACGTGCTGGGTCTGGGGATTTGGATCACTGGCCTGCCCTGCGGGCCCCTCCCCTGAGGACACTGAGGCAGCAATTGAGACTGGGTGTGGTGGCATGCAGCTGTGAACCCAGCTCTTGGGAAGCTGGAAACAGGAGAATCACTACAAGTCTGATCCGTGTAGTGAGACTCTGTAGACCCTGTACTAAATACAAAAAAAAAAAGTTTAGGAATACTACAACAAAAACTCGCCTATCCCTAAACTTAGTTTTCCCAAAAGATAACAAAAATCTGAAAATAAAAAAGCTTAAGGATAATCAAACTAAATCACCAAACCCACTGGTATCAAATTCCAGTAAGATTTAAAAGATAAAGTGTACAATGGGAGATGGGAGTAAGAGCTTATATCCACAGCAAAAATAGTATCAGTGACCTTATTTTTCTAAAATACTTGAGTGGCTTACTATCTTGTCAGGTGTTGTGCCAAGATGGACATCCTTCCTCTAATGACAGAGCATAATCTTTTATTTATACACATTTAGTAAAGAGGCCTATGATTTTTCCAGAACAGGGATCAGCAAACTTTACTATAAAGGCCCACACAGTAAATGTTTTAGGCTAAGTCATATAAAGTCTATGTATGACTATAGCCTTTTTTTCTTTTTTTTTTTTTTTTCCTGCATTTAGTACAGGGAATATAGTGTCTACAGAGTCTCACTACGTAGATCGGACTCATACTCATCCTCTTTGTTTTTAGCCTCCCAAGTGCTGGGATTACAGGCACATGCCTCCACGCCGTGTCCATGGGTGTCACAGGCACCCCCAGGGAGAGGCTGTCACAGCAGGCCCCAGGGGATCAAATAGATCATTATTTTAAACAGTCCTTTAAAAATGTAAAAATTATGCTTACAAAAGCAGCTTGCAGGCTGTAATTGGTAGCCCCTTTCTAGAGTGTCACCAATTTAAGAGCCCAGTATAATAATTCATTTTATGACTTCAAGAAAAGATAATATGGTACTTGTTTAATTTTATATAAAAACACATCATGTATGAATATGCCAAAATGAAACTCACTAGTCTGTATGATTAATGTGGGCTAATAATTTTTTTTTTAAATATAGTATGCATTTTACTCTAGAAATAGTTCCATCAAAAACAAAGTTTAGGAGCCAGGGAAATAGCTTAGTGTTAGAGTACATGCTTAGAATAAAAATATCAAGGTTAAAATTAAAAAAACACTTTCTTGTCAGCAAACAGAGCTTCCATGAAGCTTAACCATCAGATACGAAGAATAAGTTAGTACTTTCCATTATTACTCTTAGGGCTTGAAGTATGGTTTGGTGTAGAGTGTATGACAAGCATGCACAAAGTCCTAAGTTCAATACTCACTACCACAAATAAAAAAATCTTTTTCTCTCTTGAGAATCTAGGTTAGCTAGAAGATGTGTCCTCAAAGGTCCCTCTCTGTCTGGATTTCCCAGTACCAAAAAAAGAAGTAGATTACGTAAATAAACCCTTTGGACGGCATCCAAGTCTAGCTTTCCTTATATGTTACATTACTATGTGCCAGACACTGCTAATTCAATCAGTGGGCAACTTTTTTCATTTCTAATTTCAGTCTGCTATGAATGAATAGTAAGTTCTACATAGTAATAAATTTTGAAAATCGTTAGCTCATGTGATGTGGCAAACAATGGACCTTATTTATACCCATCTGTATTTATCATTGTCTTCTTCCTTCTTGAATACTAATCTCTGAAGTTTCATGTTGCAAAAATTTAAAAATCAATCATAGAAATCCAGGCAAGATATGGTGATAGCTTGAAAGTACTGCAAACAAGACAAAATGACCATCTTTTGATTAGTATATTTTTAAGGTAGAGATGACAGGATCTACTGAGAAGTAAGAGATAATTAAGGATTACTCCAAATTCTATGGCCTCTACAGCTAGAAAGTGATGCTAAGATGAAATGCAGAAGATAGTTGTGAACAAAGAGTCCAGTGGGAACAGGATGGTGTGAGGAACTAAGGGTAAACGTGACAGGTTAAGGTACCTATTAGACACCCAGTTGAAGAGGCCAAGAAGACAGATATATGGGTTTAGAGTCCAGAAGAGAAGACCAGCCTGCATATAAATCTGGAAGTCATAAGTGTATAGATAGTATTTAAAGCCATGAGATCATGGATGGCGTGAACTCATAGGATCCTCCAACATTTAGGAGGTATATTTTGCACGTAATTTATTTTCTACTTCCCTTTCAGTCTCTGTACCACTAAAATTTGCTTTGAGACAATAGTACAAATGTAGTTGCATAACAACAAACTGTGATATCAACTAATACGTTTTCCATTTAAAAGTGGTGGCTTGAGAGATAATCTAAATTTAATCCTTGGCAAACCAGGAAATGATTGCTTAATTCTGAAAATATTTTAATTGGATAGTGCAGTAAGTGAATTTGAAAGCCTTTATACCCAAAGTGAATGAAATGTCAGACCTAGATTACTTTTTGAAAAATTATTTGCTACTTAGAAAATGTTGTGTTTGATAGAGTCCAATACTCTTACCTGGATCCCACCAGAAGCCACCTGACTTGTCATACTATATTTAGATCACAGAATTCTCCTTTAGCTGCATGTGGGGCCACACGCCTATAATCCCGGCACTCGGAGGCTGAGCCAGGAAGACTATTGTGAATTGATGACCAGCCTGTGCTACAAAGTGAACTCAAGGCCAGCCTGAACTGCAGGCAAGACCCTGTCTCAAGAAGACAGAAGAGGGCCAGCAAGATAGCTCAAAGGACTAAAGCACCTGCTTAGGCAAGCTTAGGCAAACTCAGGGACCACAGTTCAATGCCAGTGCCGCCCATAGGGTAAAATGTGCCTGGCCCCAGAGCCTGGGCCTAGTGGTGCACACCTGTAATCACAGTGCTGGGGAGGCTGAAAATAGGAGGATCACTATGATTTCAAGCTGTGTAGTGAGACCCTTTAACAATCAAATACATTTTTTAAAAAATCTTTTAGGGAATGTAGCTCAGTGATAGATTATTTGCCTGGCATATGTAAAGCCCTGGATTCAATCCCCTATACAAAAAAAAGATGGATAGATGGATGGACAGATATATATGGACAGATATATCTTTCACAGTCATGTTTTCAGGGAAATAAAGGCCAAAGGAATGTTAGTCCAAAATTATACTTTCCCAATATTACAAGACTATCACCCTTCATCATTTCTCCTCCTCAAATTAGTTCTGAGAATTGCTTATCACTTGCCAATTATTTTGATATTTTAAACATTTTTATAACTGTGTCTCTTAATATTACAAGCAATCATCCATGAGGAATGTGTTCATTCTGTTGGTTGTTTCATTTGCAGTGCAGAAGCACCTGAATTTTATGTGATCCCTTCATTGATTCTTGGCATTATTGTTTGCGCATTGGGGGTTTTGTTGAGAAATTCTGCCTACGCCTATGTCTTCAAGAGTTTTACCTCTTTTGCGTTACAATAGATTGTTTTTAACATTTAGATCTTGGATCCATTTTGATTTTTAGTTTAATGCATGGTTAAAGATATGGGTCTAGATTCAATATTCTGCATGTGGATACCTGGTTTCCTAAACACTATTGAAGGTGTTCTCTTTCCTCCAGAGTATGTTTTTGGCCCTATTGTTAAAAGATCAGCTAGGAGAATGTGCCTGGAGTTGTTTCTACATCCTCTGTTACATTCCACTGATCCACATGTCTGTTTTTTGACAGTACCATGCTGTTTGTATCACTGAAGCTTTGTAGTGTAACTTGAAGTCCAGGACTGTGTTGACTCCTGCTTTGTTTTGTTTTGCTTTGTTTTTGTTGTTGTTGTTATTTGTTTTCTTTGTTTTCTTATTGGAGCCTCACCATGTAGTACAGGCTGTCCTCAAACTCACAGAGGTCTTTGCCCCTCCCAAGTGCCCCACCAAGCCTAGCTGCTTTGCTCTCCCCCCACCCTTTGGGTCTTTTTGAGACAAGGTCTCCCTATGCAGTTGAAGGCTGGCCTTCAACTCACTGTGTAGCACAGGCTGGTCTTGAAATCACAATAATCTTCCTGCCTCAGCCTCCAGAGAACTGGGATTATAGGCATGCACCACCACACCCAGCTTGGCTTTGCTCTTATTGCCCAGGATTATTTTTGCTATTCTAGATTTTTTCAAATTCCACATGAATTGTGGAGGTGCTTTCTCTAGTTCTAGTTCTGTGAAGAATGCTATTGGTGTTTTGATTGGGGTTGTGTTAAATCAGTATATCCATTTTGAAGTACAGACATTTTGACTGTATTGGTTTTGCCTACCTAAAACAGGAAA